GTGTTATGTTGAAGTATTGTTGATGAAGGAATGTTAAAGAAAATGAATATGGTTTTTTTTAGAGAGTTTTGGTTATTTCAAGTAGGATGTGAGATAGATTAAATAATTACTAGGGTGTTATGTTTAATGATGTTATAAGATATGTGGACAAGAAATATTTGTTTTGAATGGTGAGGAAATGAATGAAAATACATTGTTATATATCAAAATCAAAGATTAGAGAACTAGATAGTATCATCACTTAACTACTATATGAGATTAGAGCTACAAAATGACAAAATTTGGAATAAGTTTCTTCATAAGAAGTTATAGCTAAAGATGTTATATTTCTAAAAGGACTTCCGTTGTTTAATTCAGAGTTATGAAACTCCATATATAGATAAAAATTTGAGGGATAGTTGGACTAAGTTTTGCTGGATAATTTTTATATATTGTAATAACGAGTAGTTTTGGGTATGTTAATGGTAGGAATGAGTTTTCTTCCAATAAAGTTGTAGTTTTGTATTTTAACTTTAAGAAGAAATAAACCATGCATAAAATTACATTATATAACTTTAGATATAGTTCAACTATTGATTATTGTTCTTGAGTGATTAAGTTAAGTCTTCTAGAAGTAGTCAATTTTAATTTTGTTTAAAACTGCTCTTGATATAAGATTTAAATGATAGAAGTTATAAGAATGAGATTTTCAATATAGGTTAAATTGTTAATGATGATTAGTTTAAAATGATATGAAATTGTGTTAAATCATTTTAAGTCAAGGAATCAAATGATTGTATATGAAGTTAAATTTTAAAATAAATTAACAATTAAATAACAAATGATATTATATGTTTGATGGTTTAGGATAGGTCATGGGATCAACTCTATAACAAGGAACTTTTTCACTAGTTCAGGCATCAGGTAGGTATTTTCACCTCCAGCGTGTATAAGAAATTTCTTAGAGTTGTATAATTATGTCATTAGTGTAAAATGTTTGTTTAGCATTTGCAATACAAGTGTTATTACAGAAATAATTTGTTAGTCTACTTGGCCATGTTGGGACTAGTGGCAATTATGATTATATAACCGAGATATAATAACTAAACTAATTGATCGTAAAAGGGACTTGTAACATCTGTATTCAGATGATTGTGATATGATAACTAAAATAGCTGACTATGATAGAACTAGTGACATTTATGTTTGGATGACCAAGATATAATAACAAAAATAGTAGACCGTGATAAGGCTAGTGACACGACGAAAAGGTTGATGTCTTCTCCCAAGTGCAGGAGTGTCGAAGTAATAAATAACCCGGCAAGACCGGGGTCGAACCACAGGGAGGTTAATTGTACAAATTATAAACAACAATTATAAAACAACAATAACAACAACAGTA